AAAAAAAAATCAACACAAAGCCAATAATAAGTCAGGTGCCAGTGGCTCACACCTATAACCTTAGCTAAGGAGGCTGAGACCTGAGGATCACGGTTCAAAGCCATCCTCAGCAGTAAAGTCCATGACACGCTTATCTCCAATTAACCAAAAGAAAAATGAAACAAACAAAAAAAGAAAAAACGAAGTGGAACTGTGGCTCAAAGTGGCAGAGCACTAGCCTTGAGCAAACAGTGCCCAGGCCTTGAATTCAAGCCCCATGACCACCACACCAACAAAAAAGGCAGTAACAGCTGGCCTGTAACTGACCATATAGGCTAAGAAACAGAAAGCAGGCCAAATCAAGAGATTTCTGGGCTGAAGAAATGGGTGGTTATTTTTTTTTGGCGGGGAGGAAGGGCAGTCCTGCAGCAGCTTGAACTTAGGACCTGGGTGCTGTCCCTGAGATATTTATTTATTCATTCATTATTTATTTATTTTGGTCAGTCATGGGCCTGAATTCTGTGCACTGTCTTTCAGCTCTTCAGCTCAAGGCAAGCACTCTACTGCTTGAGACACAGTGCCACTTCTGGCTTTTTCTGCTTATGTGGTGCTGAGGAATCGAACCCAGGGCCTCATGCATGCAAGGCAAGCACTCTACCACTGAGCCACCTTCCCAGCCTCCCTGAGATTTTTTTTGTGCTCAAAGCACAAAAGCTCCCTTTCTGGATTTGTGGTAGTTTATTCGAGATAAAAGTACCCGGGAGAGCCAGGCATGGGTGGCTCATGCCTGTCATGTTAGCTACTCAGGAGACTAAGATCTGAGGATCGTGGTTCAAAGCCAGCCCCGGCAGGAAAGGCCATAAGGGTTGTACCTCCAATAAACCAACAGAAAACTGGAAGTGGCACTGTGTTTCAAGTGGTAGAGTGCTGGCTTTGATCTGAAGAGCTGAGGGACAGCATCCAGGCTCAGAGTTCAAGCCCCCGACTGACAAAAAAAGAAAGTACCTGGGAATTTCCTGTTCAGGATTGCTTTGAAGTAAGATACTCAGATCTCAGTCTCCTGAGTAGCTAGGATTACAGGTGCAAAGCACTGGTGCCCAGCTATTGCTACTGCTTTAAGACACACAGTTTTAGAACAGGTTGTTACACGGCAAGAACCAACTAATACCCTTAGATCCTTAAGTCATACTACCTAAAAAGAGGGGTATATATCCTAAGAAAAGGATATTAGAAACTCACCTGCTTTCAGGGCCAGGTATGTGACTTAATTTGGGGAATCCCACCTCCGCCCTGGGGCTTGAACTCAGGGCCTGGCTGCTGTCCCTGAGCTCTTTTGTTCAAAACCACTTTGAGCCACAGCTCCACTTTCAGTGGTAAATTGGAGATAAGTGTTTCATGGATTTTCCTGTCTAGGCTTGCTTTGAACCATGATCCTCAGACCTTAGCCTCCTGAGTGGCTAGGATTACAGGCAGGGCTTTTTTTATGCTAGGCAAATGATCTACGACTGAGCTACAATTCTAGTCCATTAATTTCTTTATAAGATAGGCAAAGGAAGAGACTTAATATAGAAGTCAGAGGCAATTTGACCACTGAACCAAGATGTTACACTGATGGCTTTGAAGACTGATAAAGCCAGTAGTGCCCCTCCTCCTGCTCCCCCCCTGCCCCCCCAGCCCTGGTAAGGAATGGCAGGCCTAGAGCTATGGTAGAAAAGAGGAGAAACACATTCTCCCTTAGAGCACCAGTAGGGAGGGTGTCTGCTCACATCTTAATTCTAGACCAGTGAGGTTGATTTTATGGGACTTTTTTTTTTTCTTTTTTGGAGGTTGTGGGCTTGAACTCAAGGCCTGGGCACTGTCCCTGAGCTTCTTTTGCTCAAGGCTAACACTCTACCACGTGAGCCACAGTGCCTCTTCCAGCCTTTTCTGTTTATGTGGTACTGAGGATTCGACCCCAGGGCGTCATGCATGCTAGGCAAGCCCTCTACCACTGAGCCACATTTCCAGTCCCAGAAAGTGTAGTATCTTAAGCCACAGAGTGTATAAGGACTTGTTATAGCAACCATAGAAACCAATGTACTTAACCTCAAAGCCTTGCAAATTTGGCTCTTCCTCCTGTGGTGGTGACCTCCAAGATGAGTACATATCATTTCCAGATGACATGTGGTCTCCTGCACTCAGCAAGGCTGGCTGACAGGATACTATGGAAATAACTGTGAATTCCTGCATTCAACAAGGTGGACTGACAGGATATGGTGGAAATAACTGAACTCCTGCACTAAGCAAGGCCCAGTGACAGGAATCGATGGAAATAACTGTAAACTCCTGCACTCCTGACTGATAGGGAGTCTATGGAACCAACTGTGAACTCTTTCACTCAGCAGGGCCGAGTGACAGGAGTCTATGGAATTGTGCATTCTGAGCTGAGGTGGCAGTGCTCTCCACAGACAACTCACGCAGTTGGAACCAGGCAGCATTTTGTGAGGAAACCCAGAAGGGTCTACATGGAGAATAGAAGGCTTGGCTGATAGTCACCATGAGTGCCATCTTGAAGGTGGCCCCAACAGCCCCAGTCGTCTCAGGAGACAATGGCGAGGCTGACATCTTGATTCTAACCTTATGAGCCTGAGTCAGATCCATTAGCTAAGTCATTCTGGGATTGGTGAACTGCTGCTACACATCTGAAACTGAGGTATTGTGTCACATCACTAAATTTGGGGGTTATTTATTATACAGGATCAGATCACACACTTTTCAGCCTTCCTTACTGCTCTCTGCCTACCAAGAATATGGTGTGGCCATATGTCATGCAAACCTGGGATAACAAACATTTAAGAACCTGTAACTAGCCGGGCACTGGTGGCTGACGGCTGTAATCCTAGCTACTCAGGAGGCTGAGATCTGAGGATCGTGGTTCAAAGCCAGCGCGGGCAGGAGAGACCATGAGACTCCTATCTCCAATAAACCACCAGAAAACCAGAAGTGGTGCTGTAGCTCAAGTGGTAGAGTGCTTGCCTTGAGCTGAAGAGCTGAGGGACAGCGCCCAGGCTGAGTTCAAGCCCCACGACCGACCAAAAAAAAAAAAAAAAGAACCTGTAACTGTCCTTGAGCTGAAGAGCTGAGGGACAGAGTTCAGGCCCTATCTCTCTCTTCCTCTCTCTCTCTCTCTCTCTCTCACACACACACATACACACACACACCCTGTAACTGTCCTTGAGCTGAAGAGCTGAGGAGCAGCACCCAGACCCAGTCAGGCCCCACAACCTACACACAGACAGACAGACAGACAGGCATACGGAACCTGTAACTGTCCTTGTTCAGGCCCCATCTCTCTCTCTCTCTCTCTCTCTCTCTCTCTCTCACACACACACACACACACACACACAAAACCTGTAACTGTCCTTGAGCTGAAGAGCTGAGGAGCAGCATCCATTCCCAGTCAGGCCCCACAACCCCACAACCGACATATAGACAGAGAGACAGAGAGACAGACACACACACACATACACACAACCTATAACTTAATAATCTAACCCTGGGCACTCCATCGGAAATGCACTCCCTCCCCGACACACATACAACCTGTAACTGTCAACAGTCTAACCCTGGGCGCGCGTACGCGCGCACTCACTCACACACACACACACACACACACACACACACCCGTGTGCACACGCCAAGCTCGCACACGCCAGGACATGCTCGGCACTCAAGGCGGAGGAGCACGGGTTGTTCCGGTTACTGCTGCAGAGTAGTACGTGGGGAGCAGGTCGCCGAGCCGAGCCAGCGCTGAGGGCCTGGGACCTTGCACACTCACCGCACACCCCGCAAGTGACCACCGAACACTCACGCGGCCGGTACTGGCCGGAAGTTGCCGTGCTCATCCACGGGAGGGCCTCGGGGCCCCGGCCCCTCCGCGCCTGGCGGGGGCGCCCGTCACGGCCGCGGGCGGGAGGGCGGAGGCTTCGCTCTGCTTCCGGGCCACGGACTTGGGCCACGGGAGGGCAGGAGGCAGGGGCGGGGGCCGGGCTCCGGCTCCGAGCCCGTTCCCCAGGTGGGCCGGACGCTACGGCGGGTCTCCCGCCACGCCGCGCCGCGGGGATGCAATGTCCGCGGGAAGCGCTAGGCCCGGAGCCCACAGCCCGGAGGACCGTTACCTGAAGCCGTGCCGCCGGCGGAGGCGCGGCCATGGTCACCGCGGCCGCTAGGTTCTCGAGGTCCATCCTGGGCCGGTGGGTCGAGCACAGGCACCCAGAGCGACGACCCTCGAGCAAACGTGCTGTCTCACCGACCAAGGGGGACCACCAGACCAGCGGCCGGCCAGACAATGGCGGCCGTGCCAGGGACCTCAAGACCACAACTCCCAGAAGGCTGCGCCCCGCACTTCAGCACTGGACCAATGAGAGTCTCCGCTCTCCATGTTGTAGACCAATGGGAGGCTTTCTGTCCCACAGCCAATGGGAGCTACCGCTCGTTGGACCTTCAGCCAATGAGGAAGCCAGACCGAATCCAGCCGCCTCCCGCTACCTGGCTAGACTGGGTGTAGGCAGCCTCGGGCCTTGGCCCCTGTCCCGGGGACTCGGGCTCGCAGGGGCTGGGGTTCAGGGATCGACCTTTTCCCCCTGAGCTCCTCCGCCTAGGATCGGGACGTAAGCAGTAATGGGAATGGCGGCACCCGCTGTTGAATGTCAGCCCACGCTCCCTGGAAGGACTGAGCGGAGACCTGGGGTGCCCCGGATGGGCTGGAAACTTGCAGCGTCCCGGGGCCTTCAGGGGCGAGTGTCTGGAACGGGGAACGCGAGGCTTTCGAGGGCAAGGCACAGTGGATAAGAAGAAACTTGGTGATGTCGAAGATTTGATTCCCCCGAACTCCAGTTCACAAATAATTGTCACAGGGGTTTGGCCAGGAAAACGAGGGCCAGCATGGTTAACTCATGGGAAGGAGTACGGTCCTCGTGTGTGTTTGCGGGGGAGGGGGGGTTGGGGGGGGAGATTTTTAAGTAAAAGCCCAGCAGCTTCCCTATCATGTGCCGAGGCAGGACTGGGGACTGCTCTTTCCTGATGTCCGGGCCGTCTGCAGAGTTGTATGTCTTTCTGTTCAGATGATCCATCATTCCTATGGTTAGCAAGATAAGGCAAGGGGTATGGTGACCTTCTTGAATTCCTGAGAGAAAGAAAAAAGGGGGAGAACGTATTTAAACCTTGCATATTGGAAAGCGCGCTAGTAAAGTGATGAGTTACTGCACTGGAAGTACAGTTGGGAGCATACTGAGGTGTCTGCCCCTGTTAAACTCCCAGCATCCTCGCTCCCTGCTGGGCACCTTACTCCACACCTCTCTTTCTGCAGGGCCCCGGTTGGGCACTGCAGTTGTACGAGGAGGAGGAGCAAGTTTTTAGGCATGGGTGGAAATTAAGGGAGGCTGTGGTTTTAGGTAGAGGGGATATCCTTAATGTGATGATTCAGAAGACTAGAATCTCTTGTTTTCAGGAAAAATTGGTCTACTCTCATTTTTCTCAAGATGCAGTATAGTTTTCTAGAAGATGCTGGATGAATAATATTATAACCAAAGTTCAAAATTATGCTATTATAATCACTACCAAGTCTATTAAAAGATTGTTTTTGGTGCCAGTTCTGGGGCTTGAACTCAGGAACTGGGAGCTGTCCCTGAGCTTTCATGCTCAAGGCTAGTGCTCTACCACCTTGAGGCACAGCACCTCTTCCAATTTTCTGGTGGTTAATTGGAGATAAGAGTCTCACAGACTTTCCTGCCTGGGCTGGCTTCAAACCACAATAGCTAGGATTACAGGGATGAGCCACCTGCTCCCTGAAATCCTGTCTTCTATTTTTTGTCGGTTGTGGGGCTTGAACTCAGGGTCTGGGTGTTGTCCTGAGCCTCTTTGTGCTCAAGGCTAGTGAAGTGAAAACACTGACTTACATCATGGTACTGAGGACATGGCTTAAGTGCTCAAGAAACTGCTTAGGCCCTGAGTTTAATCCTGAATCTCTCTCTCTCTCTCTCTCTCTCTCTCTCACACACACACACACACACAATTTGGGGCTGGAGATGTGACTCAAGTAATTAATGCTTGCTTGGCATATCCAAGACCCTGGGTTCAATCCCTAGCAGCAGCAGCAACCACAATAATAATAGCAGTAGTAGTAATAATGTGGGAAGAGTCAGGGAGAACATGGAAGAAATGACATTGGTCAAGATGAGTTAGACTCATAAACTGTTAAGTTGAATTGAAGCCCTTTTGTACAACTTCTTAAAGATAATTAAAAAAAGAAAATGATAATTCTGGAAGATTTCCTACCCTGAATTATTCCCCAATTTGTGTGTGTGTGTTTGTATGTGTGTTTTCCAGTCCTGGGGCTTGAACTCAGGGCCTGGGTGCTGTCTTGAGTTCCTTTTACTCAAGAATAGCGTTCTACCACTTGAGCCACAGTGCCACTTCCAGCTTTTTTTGTTATTTAATTCGAGATAAGATGGGCAGGGATGGTTGGGAAGGTGGCTTGTCTTGCATGTATGAAGCCCTGGGTTCGATTCCTCAGCACCATACCACACACACGCGCGCGGCGCGCGTGCGCGCGCCAGAAATAGGCTGGGAAGGTGGCTCAGTGGTAGAGCCCTTGCCTTTCATGCATGAGGCCCTGGGTTTGATTCCTCAGCACCACATAAGAAAAAAAAAAAAGCCGGAAGTGGCGCTATGGCTCAAGTGGTAGAGTGCTAGCCTTGAGCTGAAGAGCTGAGGGACAGCACCCAGGCTCTAAGAGTTCAGGCCCCACAACCGGACCCCCCCCACACACAAAAAAAGCCAGAAGTGGTGCTGTGGCTCAAGTGGTAGAGTGCTAGCCTTGAGTAAAAGGAGCTCAGGGACAGTGCCCAGGCCCTCAGTTCAAGCCCCAGGACTGGCAAAAAAAAAAGAAAAAAAAAGATAGATGGAGATATGACTTAGTGGTAGATGGCTCACATGAAACCCTGGAAGTGGCACTGTGGCTCAAGACTTTCCTGCCCAGGCTGGCTTCAAACTGTGATCCTCAGATCTCAGCCTCCTAAGTAGCTAAGCTTACAGGCGTGAGTCACTGATGCCCAGATCAATTTGTGTGTGTGTGTGTGTGTGTGTGTGTTTTTGGGTCCAGTCATGGGGCCTGAACTCTGGGCCTGGGCACTGTCCCTCAGCTCTTCAGCTCAAGGCTAGCGCTCTACCACTTAAGCCATAGCACCACTTCCGGCTTTTTTTTTTTTTTTGCTTATGTGGTGCTGGGGAATCAAACCCAGGGCCTCATGCATGCAAGGCAAGCGCTCTACCTCTGAGCCACCTTCCCAGCCCCTCAATTTGTGGTTTTAATTGCTGATTTACATTACATTTGAAAACGTCTGCCTTTGCATTTTGTCACTCAGCACCAACTTTTTTTGTGCAAGATCTTCTTAAGCATTTAAAACTCATCAAAAATATCTCCCAGCTTGGCCTAGTGGTGTACACACGTATTCTCAGCAACTCAGGAGGTGGAGATTGGGAGAAGTCTCAAGGACAACCTGGGCAAAAAAGTTAGCAAGACCCCATATCAGGCAGCAAATCAAGCGTGAGTGGTACAATCTGTGGTCCACAGGTAGGAGGATCACAATTTGAGGCCATCTGTGGGCATCAACAAAAGACTCTTTGCAAAACGTAAGTATAGCACAACAGCTCTTAAGACATGGTTCAAGTGGAAGAGTACCTGCCTAGCACACATAATGCCTTGGGTTTAAACCCCAATCCTGCCAAAAGTATCTTCCTGCTCATTTTCAGAATGTGTTATCTGGACATCTGATGGACAATGCACAATGAGGGGAATCTTCTGGCTGAAAGCCTTTCCACAATGACTTTACCCATATGGTTTCTCTTCGGCTTGTGTCTGCTGCTGCACTCTGAGCTGAGATCGCTGCCAAAAGTATTCCCACCGTCATTATGTTTATATGGAGAAGGAATTCTCTGTTGGGAGGGGGCATGGGACCTCCCAGTGAAAGCTGTCCAGTATGAGTTCTCTGATGTTTCAGACTGTCTGTGAAGGACTGACTGCCATGAGTGCACTCGTAGTGGCCTCTCCCCCATGGAATTCTCAGATGCCTACTGCGTTGAGTGCACTGAACGAAGGATTTTCCACACTGGTTACACTCAACAGGACTTCTCTTGAGCGTGTGTCCTTTTACGTATGAGAAGAGTCAGAACTTGGGCAGAGGACTTTCCATGGGAGTGTAAGTACACATTCATAGGATTTTTCTCCAGTGTGAATCCTGATGTACAATAAGGTTAGCTTTCCACCTGAAAGACTTCCCACAGCTGTCCTCACAACTGAGTGAGGCCTTGCCACAGTGACCTCCATCTGTACAAGACATACATTTCAGAACAGGTTTCCCTATATTCTCTACAACCATTTGAACGCCCTCCAAAATACATCTCATGTTCATTTAGACTCAGCCTGTAATTAATGAGATTACTGCAATCCTTATACTCAACAATATTCTCGGGGCTGGGAAAGTGGCTCAGTGGTACAGTGCTTGCCTTGCATGCATGAGCCCCTGGGTTCGATTCCTCAGCACCACATAAGCAGAAAAAAAGCTGGAAGTGGCGCTGTGGCTCAAGTGGTAGAGCGCTAGCCTTGAGCTGAAGAACTGAGGGACAGCGCCCAGGCCCAGAGTTCAGGCCCACAACCAAAAAACTAAACAAACAAAAAACCAATATTCTCTTCTTGCAGGTAGGATTAAATTAAGGATGTTGAGATATTCATCTTGCACTATATGTTGGGCAAAATGAAGAGGCTGAAGGGGAAGAGGGAAATTTAACCCACCAAGGAGCAGGCCTGACAGGGGGCAAGCAAGATTTGAGCAGTAGGTTTACAAGCCAATGATGCACTGGCCAGAAGACTGGAAATTAACAGATCTTTCACTCAGAGACATTGAAAAGTGTGGAGATCCATTGACAAATTAACTTCATCCTGGATAATGATTTTGTATGTCTGGTACCTAGAACATTGGGAGAATAAGATTCTATTGTTTTATTTTATTTATTTATTTTTTTTGTCGGTCGTGGGGCTTGAACTCTGGGCCTGGGCGCTGTCCCTCAGCTCTTCAGCTCAAGGCGAGCGCTCTACCACTTGAGCTACAGCGCCACTTCCGGTTTTCTGGTGGTTTATTGGAGATAGGAGTCTCATGGTCTCTCCTGCCCGGGCTGGCTTTGAACCGCGATCCTCAGATCTCAGCCTCCTGAGTAGCTAGGATTACAGGCGTGAGCCACCAGCGCCCGGCTCTATTGTTTTAATTGCCAGGAGAGTGGTGTTTATTATCCTTGTTTCAGGAAACTAATATGGAATCCTAACTTGAATTTGGGGTAGATTATCGATCAACATCTCAGTTTATGTTCTAGTTTTTTAACTCCTAAGAGCATCTCAAAGTTAATACCTACTTATTAGTTCTTATTTTTATCTATCTTTCCCCCACTGGGCTTTGAATATGTTAGGCAAGTGCTATACCATGGAACTATCCGCCAAGTACTGTGTGTTTTTGTGTGTGTGTGTGAGCACTGGAATTTGAACTCAGGGCCTTGTGCACTGACTTAGCTTTTTTGCTCAAGGCTGGCACTCCTGGCTTTTCGTTGGTTAATTGGGAATAGACTCTGGGAATTGCTTGTCCAGGTTGACTTTGAATCTCAAGCCTCAGAGCTTACAGGCATGAACCATACACACCAAACAAATTAATGTTAGCCCAGGATTGACTCAACAGAATCCCCAGCAGTTGTGTTCCCTTAGGCACTGACTAATGTCTGAGCTTTATTGTATGGTGAGTTCACAGAAGTCCTTTGCTTCTTAGCAATATACCAGGAAGAAAATGCTTAGCTTGAGTTTGTCTGGAGTTATGAATGAAGCAATACATGCACTTCTGTGGTATCTGGCAGCATCTGTTGAACTCATTACTGTGCTGCAGAAGATGCTGGACCTTTAGTGTTGAGCTAGACCTGAATGCTGAATGTGAAGAGGCTCCCTGCTCAGAAATTCCCTCAAGGGCAACATATGGGTCCTGACTGTACTACTTATTTGGAAAGCAGATAGCAGGGTCCAGCCAAGGCAAAAATCCAGTGAAACCATCTTATAGAACAAACCAGGAGTGGAGGCACAGTAATCCCAGACAGTCTGGGCAAGAGTCAAATATGGCTGAAACCTGTCTGTGAACTTCATCTGTGATCTTCAGAAATTTTTTTTTTTTTTTTTTTTTTTTTGTCAGTGGTGGGGCTTTAACTCTGGGTTTGGGCGCTGTCCCTCAGCTTTTTGGCTCAAGGCGAGCGCTCTACCGCTTGAGCCACAGTGCCATTTCTGGTTTTAGAGTGGTTTACTGGAGATAAAGAGTTTCATGGACTTTCCTGCCCGGGCTGGCTTTGAACTGCTATACTCTGATCTCAGGCTTCTGAGTATCTAGGATTACGGGCGTGAGCCACAGGTGCCGGCTTCTTTTCATTCCTGAAATAATGTGGAGTTACTTCTTGGCTAACATATCACAGGGCAAGTTCAAGTACCATCACAAAGAAACTTATACACACTATCAGGTTGTTGAAATGTTTTTGGGCCATCATAGCACCTTGACAGATGCATGAGAAGACATAGGGTATTGATGCTGCCATCATTTTCCAGGCATTTGGCCTCATGGCTTCTACTCTGATCTGTAGAAGAGGCTGTGAAGAGCCCCTCTCAGCACCATTTGCTGAGCCTATTTGGGCTGTGGAGTTGAAGGTGCTTATTATGGTTTGGGGATTGAACTCACAGCCTCTACCACTTAACTCACATCCCTAGGATGTTTACTCAGAACAAAGGTAGAGTTCTGAAGTGGGACCTCACACTGTAGGGAACACTGAAGCAGAGCTGTCAGACCCAGAAAGGGTTCAGAGGTTGGAAGGCCCCCTCATTAGTACTTAAAATGCTGAGAACTGGCCCTGGAAAGGTGAAAAGACAGCTATTGAAAGAGTTAAGAGGCTGGAAGGCCATTTATTCAGACAGTGTGGAATGGCTAAGAGCTGGACCAAGACAAAGTAAAATACATGTGTGAATTATGCCTGGGTTACAGTCTTTGCTCCCAAGACAATGAGAGCTAGTTATTCAGTTTTGACTCTATGATTATAACAATATAGATGCTGCCGGGCACTGGTGGCTCACACCTGTAATCCTAGCTACTCAGGAGGCTGAGATCTGAGGATCGCGGTTCAAAGCCAGCCCGGGCAGGAGAGACCGTGAGTCTCCTATCTCCAATAAACCACCAGAAAACCGGAAGTGGCGCTGTAGCTCAAGTGGTAGAGCGCTCGCCTTGAGCTGAAGAGCTGAGGGACAGCGCCCAGGCCCAGAGTTCAAGCCCCACAGCCGACAAAAAAAAACAAACAATATAGATGCTATGTTTTCCGCACATGCCCACGGTAACCTTCCCTGTACTAAGCCTAATAAATAAGCTTGTGTAGGGGAACTTGTGATTCAAAAGCCAATACACACTAAAACCCTTGGTCCCTGCTATCTCTGTCTTTTCTCATTTCCTTGGCTTGGGTATCCATTCATTTTGACTCAGGTTGCAGGTAGCAACATCACACACGGTTAGTAACGAGGAGAAAGTCTCAGTCAAAAGTAGGTATCAAATGGAGGCCCTAGGGTTGGGAATGTGGCTTAGTGGTAGAGTGCTTGCCTAGCATACATGAAGTCCTGATTTCTTAGTACACATAAACAGAAAAAGCCAGAAGTGATGCTGTGGCTCAAGTGTAGAGTTCTATCCTTGAATACAGAGAAGCTCAGGGACAGGGCCCAGGCTCTGAGTTCAAGCCCCAGGACCAGCAAAAACAAAACAAAACAAAACAACAACAAAAAATGGTGCTAGTGCTGCTACTGAGCTGTTGTTAAGCTCCTGGTTGGACATCAGTTCTTCCAGTGAGTCCTCTGGGAAAATAAAAACTTTAGAGATGTTGTGCTTCTCAGGTGTTTCCAGCCCTTTGAGCTCTAGTGGGTCTTACAGGTTTCCTATGTCCACACCAATCAATCCTACTACAATGATAAGTGAGAACAACCTGCTAGTTCAACTCACTTGGAATCCAAAGTGATATGGCCTTGTATAGACTTGCTAGATCTGACAATTTCCTTTTGTTTTATGTTGCTCATTTTAAATATCAAAGCACTGCAAATATTTAATAAGCAGGAATCAAATTCTACATGGAAATATAGCTTTATTTATTTACATTTTCTTAAGATCTTTTCCAAATACATAAACACTTTACCCTGGATGTAATTATAAGTGCATAGATTATTTGGTACCTGGCTTAAAAAACTTATAAATAGCTGGGTCCTGGTGGCTCAAGCCTATAATCTTAACTACTCAGGAGGCTGAGATTTAAGGATCACAGTTGGAAGCCAGCTGAGCAGAAAAGTCCCTGTGAGGCCTTATCTCCAATTAACCACGAAAGAACCAAAGTGGCACTGTGGCTCAAGTGATAGAACACTACCCATGAGCATAAAGAGGCTCAGGGATGGTGCCTAGGCTCTGAGTTCCAGTCCCACAACCAACAACAACAAACAAACAAAACCCCTATAAACATTTTCAGATTTCATTGTTACTTACAGTGACCAAAGGAAGAATTCAAGCTAATAAAGGCGAGTGCTCGTGGCTCTGAGGATCATAGTTTGAAGCCAGTCTGGGCGGAAAAGTCCCTATGAGACTCATCTCCAATTAACCACTTAAAAACTAGAAGTGACAAGCTGGGTGCCAGTGGCTCACGCCTGTAATTCTAGCTACTCAGGAGGCTGCGATCTGAGGATCACTGTTCAAAGCCAGCCCGAGCAGGAAAGTCCGTGAAACTCTTATCTCCAATAAACCACTAGAAAACCAGAAGTGGTGCTGTGGCTCAAGAGGTAGAGCGCTTGCCTTGAGCTGAAGAGCTGAGCGATAGCGCCCAAGCTCAGAGTTGAAGCCCCACAACTGACAAAAACAAAACAAAACAACAAAAAAAACAAACAGAAGTGGCACTGTGGCTCAAAGTAGTAGAGTGCTAGCCTTGAGCAAAAACAGCTCAGGGACAGCATCCAAGCCCTGAGTTCAAGCCCCAGGACAGCAAAACAAACAAACAAAAAGCTAAAAAATTAGCAACTTCCAACTCATTAATTCATTTGGCTTGTCTAAACTTCTCACCATGAGTAATGGTGCATACAGCAATCGGGAGACTGAGGCAGGAGGGCTAGCAATGCTTCCACAGGCTTGAAGGCTGTGAACTGGGCTACTTCTTCTTATACTTTTTCCCACTGTGTGTTTTCTGATGCCCAATAAGATGTGAGCTCTGGGTGAAGGCCTTTCCGCATTTACTGCACACGTAGGGGCGCTCCCCGGTGTGAGTCCTCTGGTGCCGGATGAGGTGCGAGCTCTGCCGGAATGCTTTCCCACAATCCTGACATGGGTAGGGCTTGGCTCCAGTGTGAGTCCTCAGGTGCTGGGAGATGGCCGAGCGGTCATTGAACGTCCGCCCACACTCGTGACACTCAAATGGTCTCTCCCCACTGTGAACTCTCTGATGCTGTGTGAGGGAAGAGCTCTGCACAAACCCTTTCCCACAGTCCTGACACACATAGGGCCTTTCTCCTGTGTGGATCTTTTTATGGACAGAAAAGTATCTTGGGTTTCGGAACATTTTCCCACATTCACTGCATCGGCAAATTTGGCTCCCTTTGTGAATTCTTATAAAAGTAATCTGCTGAGCTCGATGGCATATTGTTTTCCTAAAACCACTGCTCTCCTTGGCTTTTCTTCCTGTAGAGCCCTTTTGATGAATTCTTGCACGGGAACCACTTGCTACACAACTGTTGCTCTTCTTGGTTCTCCCCACTTCACAGTCCTTCTTGTGGGTTTTTACACGTGGACTACCTCCCATGTTTTTAACCTGCAGGCTACGTTTGCGTAAGCCCTTTGTGGAAGGAATGTCTTGGACTGAACCCTGACTGGTGTGGAGACCAGTGCTTGGCTGGTATCCTGGGCTTTCAGTGAGCTGCTTTTCAGAGAGGCCTTGTTCCCGGGTGAACTCTACTTGTTTCAACACTGTGTTGGGGACAACTTGGACCTTGTCTTGTACATCGTCTTCGGAGGAAGAATGGTGGGTGTTGTCCCTTGAAAACTTTTTCATTTTTAGATCACGAACTGCTTCTTCCACAGGAAAGGGAGAATCTGAAGTTAACTCTTTGCTTCCCAATGCAGTCTCCCACCCTGAAACAAACCAAAAAGATGTAGACTCTACAATTTAACGCAGAATTAAGTACTCAACAGATAGGGACTTCTTTTTTCCAATACAGTCATGGAATCTGGGGAGTGCATGTACAAAGGCATGAGGATGCAAAGTAAGAACAACCAATCTGGGGCTGGGAAGGTGGCTCAGTGGTAGAGAGCTTGCCTTGCATGCCTGAGGCCCTGGGTTCAATTCCTCAGCACCACATAAGCAAAAAGAAAAAAGCCGGAAGTGGCGCTGTGGCTTAAGTGGTAGAGCGCTAGCCTTGAGCTGAAGAGCTGAGGGACAGCACCCAGGCCCAGAGTTCAGGCCCCACGACCAGCGCCCCCCTCCCCCCCCAAAAAAAGAACAACCAATCTAGCGACCGAGATGAGCAATAAAACAATCCACTTAGTCACCAGAGAACATTCTCAGAACTAGCTCTTCAGGCTCCTGTTCTCATTCCCTGTTTCCCTAAGGAGAATTCGACCAAACCTGTCTCTGTTCATCTAAAGTTCCCATAGGTTCCAGCTTAGATAAGTTCCAGTTAACGGTCCTGAACAGAGCAAAGGAAGGTATGGCCAGGCCAAGCGCTGCGGTGGGAGAAGATGAGGGCCTTGGCTTGGAACCCCACAGCATTCCCCCAGCAGCAGGTCCTTACCTACAGAGACTAGGTTCCCTAAGGTCTCCAGCATCACATCACGGTACTCAGTCCTCTGCACTGGGCCCAGTAGTCCCCATTCCTCCTGGCTGAAGTCCACGGCCACGTCCTGGAAGGTCACTGGCTCCTGTGATGTTACATGTATGTCAGAGATTTGCCAGTGGAGACAGAGAAAGACTTCTAGCATGCTCCAGTAGTTTGCTGTACCAGGGACTTCTCTGCTTAGGGGAAGTGCTCAGAGACACTAACTTCAGGCCCATAAAAAATCCATTGGAAGCCGGGCGCCGGTGGCTCACGCCCGTAATCCTAGGTAGTCAGGAGGCTGAGATCTGAGAATCATGGTTCAAAGCCAGCCCAGGCAGGAAAGTCCATGAGACTTATCTCCAATAAGTCACCAGAAAACTGAAGTGGCGCTGTGGCTCAAGTGGTAGAGTGCTCACCATGAGCTAAACAGCGCAGGGACAGCGCCCAAGCCCAGAATTCAAGCCCCACAACGGACCAAAAAAAAAAGATCCATTGGAGCTGGATGCTAGTGACTCATGCCTGCAATCCTAGCTACTCAGGAGGATGAGATCTGAGGATCATGGTTCAAAGTCAGCCTAGGTAGGAAAGTCCATGAGACTTATCTCCAATAAGTCACCAGAAAACTGGAAGTGGCGCTGTGGCTCAAATGGTAGAGCACTAGACTTGAGCTGAAGAGCTGAAGGACAGTGCCCAGGCCCAGAGTTCAAAACACCACCACCACCACAACCAAAAAAACCCCAAATCCAAAGAGCCACTGGGTCTTTCTCACACCCCAGAGTCTAGAGGCTGAGCTGGGAGGCAGAGCTCCTGATTCACAGAGACTCAGGCATAATAGGCAAGCTGCCATACAATACCCACACTTGTATCCAACACCCCAGGAGAGCCTGCTCCTGGGAACAGCTCCCGGTTTTATGCTACAATCAAAGAAGAAGACTAAGCCTTTGCTTTGGTTGACAGGTCTGAGCTGGGGCAGAGCATTTTCCCAGGTTTACAGTGTTTACTAGAGTTTTGGGGGTCATACAGCCCTCTCCTCAAGACTGTATAAAATGGAGCAGAGCCTGCCTCAGAGGAATGTGAGCAGAGTGACAAGCCCAGAGACCCTTACCATCACCTGGGAGCATAGGGACGCAGCCTTATCTGAAGACTAGCCTACACTATTCATCACTTGAAAGCCAGTAATTTCTTTCTTTTTTTAATCAATAAAATACTTTTAATGCCTACAATTTCTTGTATACATAAATGGCAAAACATTCACCTGTATTTCCTTTTCTTCCTTCTTTTCTCTCTCTCTCTCCCCGTCTCTCTCTCTCTCTCTTTCGCATGAACTCTGCACCTGGGCACTGTCCTTCAGCTCTTCAGCTCAAGGTGAGTGCTCTACCACTTGCAAGGCAAGCACTCTACCACTAAGCCACCTTCCCAGCCCTAAAGCCAGTAAAAACCATTTTACAGGACAAATATCACTGACCAATGTCACATATACACCATCACTTTAATGGTTGGCAAGATAGGACGAATCCTGTTTCATTTACATGAAAATTTGTTCTGAGGGGCTGGGAAGGTGGCTCAGTGGTAGAGCACTTGCCTTGCATGCCTGAGGCCCTGGGTTCGATTCCTCAGCACCATATAAGCAGAAAAAAAAAGCCGGAAGTGGCGCTGTGGCTCAAGTGGTAGAGTGCTAGCCTTGAGCTGAAGAGCTGAGGGACAGTGCCTAGGCCCAGAGTTCAGGCCCCACGACCGGACCCCCTCCCCCCAAAAAAAATGCCTGAAGTGGCGCTGTGGCTCAAGTGGTAGAGCGCTAGCCTTGAGCTGAAGAGCTGAGGGACAGCGCCCAGGTCCAGAATTCAGGCCCCACGACAGGACCCCCCCCCAAAAAAGAAAACTTGTTCTGAAACAAATCTCAGCCTTTAGTGTTTCACTCTTAATGCCCCAAGTAAGTGTTTTCTGAAGGATGGGGGCTCTGTTCTTCTACCTGAGATAGAGTGCGGGAAGAGGTCTCTCTTCTTCCAGTTGGGAGACAATGCAATCTTAACAGGCTGCCTGTGGTTGTTCTGCCTTTTTTTTTTGTTTCCCCCGCCAGTCCTGGGACTTAAACTCAGGGCCTAAGCACTGTCCCTGAGCTTCTTTTTGCTCAAGGCTAGCACTCTACCACGTGATCCACAGTTCAGTCGTGGGGCTTGAACTCTGGGCCTGGGCGCTGTCCCTCAGCTCTTCAGCTCAAGGCAAGTGCTCTACCACTTGAGCTATAGCGCCACTTCCGGTTTTCTGGTGGTTTATTGGAGATAGGAGTCTCACGGTCTTTCCTGCCTGGCTTGGCTTTGAACTGTGATCCTCAGATCTCAGCCTCCTGAGTAGCTAGGATTACAGGCGTGAGCCACCAGCGCCCGGCTCCAGCTTCTATTTAAGTGGCACTGAGGAACTGAACGCAGGGCTTCATGCATGCTAGGCAAGCACTCTACCACTAAGCCACATTCCCAGCACCTGCCTCTTATTTCTCTTCCAGTTCTCAGTCCCTGTGCTCTTGCTTTGTGGCTTGAATTCCAGGTATTGATGCCCTGTCTACGCCTTCAATAACACCATAGTGGAGGCAGGACAGCCTTTCATAGTTCAGAACCCAGCTCAGATTAAAGAGCTCAAAGGTCAGAATGGCCCAGCATGTACGATGCTTTTGCAAGGCTTTGCACAGAAAAACATCTTAGGAGCTGGGGGCCCATGGCTCATGACTATAATCCTTGCTACTCGGGAGGCTGAGATCTGAGGATCACCATTCAGAGCCAGCCCAGTCAGGAAAGTCCATGAGACTCTTTTTTTTTTTCCCGTTTGTTGGTCGTGGGGCTTGAACTCCGGGCCTGGGTGCTGTCCCTGAGCTCTTCAGGTCAAGGCGAGCGCTCTACTGCTTGAGTTACAATGCCACTTCTGGTTTTCTAGTGGTTTATTGGAGATAAGAGTCTCACAGACTTTCCTGCCTGGGCTGGCTTTGAACCGTGATCCTCAGATCTCAGCCTCCTGAGTGGCTAGAATTACAGGCGTGAGCCACCGACACCCGCCTTCCATGAGACTCTTATCTCCAATTAACCACCAGAAAACCAGAAGTGGTGCTGTGGCTTAAGTGGTAGAGTGCCTTGAGCTGAAAAGCTGTGAGACAGCGCCCAGGCCCAGAGTTCAAGACCCACAACCGACAAAAAAAAAAAAAAAATCTTAGGCACAACATCTGCAGGAAATGCTATATACAGTATGTATATGTATATACAGTCTACACCTGCACATACTGTACACATACTGTATGTTGTCTATACCTGCAATACTCTATACATACTATATACATCTGTAGGGTAGGCTGTACCCAGAAGAACAAAGGGTGAGACTGCTTACCTCAGGCAGCACTTCCACTGGCAAGATGGCCACATCCTCCTTTTCTTCCTTCTGTGGGGCAGTGGCCTTAGGAGAGCAGGCAAGTAGTGCTGGAAGAGACACACAACAGGCAGGTGATGGGTTGTGCATACCTGTGTCCTTGTCCTGCTGTCTGCTCTCCTCTCTTCTCCTAATGCCTCCCAATCCCTGTGCCTGGATGGGCCTGGTTATGGTCACCCATGCATGAACCATACACACTTACTTACTTGGCTAACACTACTGCTTGAGCTACACCTCCAACCCTGCTTTTTTGCTGTTAAGTGGAGATGGAGTCTCATGGACTTTTCTGCTTGGGCAGGTTGTAACCGCAATCCACTGGCTCTCAGCCCGATTAGCTAGGACTACAGGTTTCAGCCACCGGTATCCAACTTGGAGGCACTATTTTGGGAGACTGTAGAAACTAGGAGGTGGGACCCATATATAGCAAGCTGGTCTATGTAGAGGCAGGTCTTGGGACTATCTCATCTTTGACTTCTTTCTGGTTGTTCCATGTCTGGCTTTCTTGGAGTATTTTATTGGAGTCTCATGGACTTTCCTGCCTGGGCTGCTTTGAACTGTAACCCTCAGATCTCAGGCACCTGAGCAGCTGAGATGACAGACCTGAGCTGCTGGCTCCCAGTTCAATTTCCCTGTCTCATGTCACTGCCATGATGTTCTGCCGAAGTGCATGGGGCAAGAGACTATGAACAGAACTCTGAAACTGTCGGCAGAAACAGATTCTTTTTTCAAGTTTCTCTACAAGATATTTTGTCACAGCTTGAGCAAAATATCTACACCTACTCTGCGAAACTCAACAGTTTACCTCTAGATTACTTCTGCTTCCTCAAGCATCAATCAGTCAGTCCGTCACTTGTTTGTTCTAGAAATATCCTCTGGATACCATGAGTGTGGTATGGTAGTGAGCAATGACAAAGCATTCATGCTCTCAAGTTCAGCCTGATAAAGAACGCAACACTCAGAAATAACCAAAACAAGCTCCGCACTGGTGGCTCAGGCCTGTAATCCTAGCTACTCAGGAGGCTGAGATCTGAGGACTGCGGTTCAAAGCCAGCCCGGGCAGAAAGTCTGTGAAACTCTTATCTCCAATAAACCACCAGAAAACCGGAAGCAGTGCTTTTGCTCAAGTGGTAGAGCACTCTCCTTGAGTTGAAGAGCTGAGGGACAGTGCTCAGGCCCAGAGTTCAAGCCCCACAACTGACAAAAAAAAAAAAAAAAATAACCCAAACAAATGCACGGTCACTGCTGGCAAGCTGTAGCTTTCCGAGGGCAGCAGCCCTCCTGTCCACCATCCACCACCAGCCCAGGGGGTCTCTAAAGTTCACGTCGGACTGGGCCACTTATTCCCAGAACTCAGGAGACTGATTCTCACTGTTCAGGACAATATTTCCTCATCCTTCAGGTAAACATTCAAATTTTGACAGGAAGTGCAGGTGTGGTGGCACACGTCTGTAGATCTGTCACTCTGTAGTTCAAGCTATGAAGGAGACTGAGGCATGAGGAATGCTTGCACACAGGAATTTGGGGGCAGTGTGGACAATGTAATAAACTTACTCATTAAAAAAAAAAAAAAAAAAATCTAGGCACAGGTTGCTATCTGTGATCCTAGTGACCCCTGGTGGCAGAGATCCGAGACTGCAGTTCAAAGGCAGCCCAGGCAGAAAAAGCCACAAGATTCATTTTTTTTTTGTTGGGCATGAGACTTGAACTTCGGACTTGGGCGCTGTCCCTCAGCTCTTCAGCTCAAGGCTAGCGCTCTACTACTTGAGCCACAGCACCACTTCTGGCTTTTTTCTTTTTTTGCTTATGTGGGGCTGAGGAATCGAACCCAGGACCTCATGCATGCACAGCAAGCGCTCTACCACTGAGCCACCCTCCCAGCCCCAAACTTGAGCTTTTTTTTTTCTTGGTTGGTCGTGGGTCTTGAACTCTGAGCCTGGGCACTGTCCCTCAGCTCTTTCAGCTCAAGGCTAGTGCTCTACCACTTGAGCCATAGCACCACTTCCTTCTGCAAGATTCTCATCTTCAATTAACGACGAAAAAAAGCCAAAATGAAGTTGTGGCTCAAGTCCTTGAACACAAAAGCTCGGGGGCAGTGGCTAAGCCTTGAGTTCAAGCCCTCAGAATGGCTAAATAAAAGATCCTTGTAAGGAACCTCATGTATAGGCCTCATACCCTGTTCACACCTATCCAGACTCATTACCCAGTTTCTCCTCAGTTTCTGCATGCTATACTTTGGTCATTTTCACATTGGACCCTCAGAGGCAGTGCTTCCTTTGCTAGGTACACCCTATCCTGCCTCTTTACCCTGACAAATTCCAGTACCTATCAGCTGTCAGCTACACAAACAGCCTTCAGTGGCTCCACCAGTGAGTCCACCTTTGGTCTCCATTTGCAGTATAACATGTATGTGCATGCATTTGCCACATCCCATCTTCCCCTAGGACCACAGGTTCAGCAAGCCTTATTCTAAGTCCCACCTTAGCTACCACATCCTGTGCAGGCCCTACATACCAAGAGCTAGAGGGCAAATCTGACAGGGATCCCAAGAGGATGAAAAGAAAGGACTGTATCTCCAAGTTTCCATAGAAGGCTTTAGAAAGTTCCTTCAAGAGCTCTAGGTCAAGCCAGGCACCAGTGGCTCATGCCTATAAATCCTAGCTACTCAAGAGGCTGAGATCTGAGGATCCTGGTTCAAAGCCAGCCCGGGCAGGAAAGTCCGTGAGACTCTTATCCCCATTAAACCTCTCAGAACCACAGAAGTGGCCCTGTGGCTCAAGTGGCAGAGCCCCAGCCTCAAGCCACCCCCTCCCCCCAGCTGTGCCACACCTTACCCTCTACCACACTCACCCTCTTCCTACTTGGGCACTGAGACTCCATCCTGGTTCTGAGAAGCCCCCCACTCAACCCATGAGCTGTCCCTCCCCTCACCCTCTTCCTCCTTGGACACTGAGACCATACCTTCCACTAGGACCACTGCTGCTTCGCAGTCCTCTGGGTGCTGTGACTTAACCCACAAGTTTAGCTGTGCAGGCAGAACACCCAGGAACTGCTCCAGCACCAGCATCTCTAGGATCTGCTCCTTGGAATGCAGCTCTGGCTGCAGCCATTGGTGACACAGATCACGAAGCTGAGCAATGGTCTCCTGAGGCCCAGTTGACTTCTCATATTGGTAGTGTCGGAATTTCTGGCGAACGGCTTCAGTGTCAGATGGATGTCTGCCCAGCTGTTGGACTGGACTCTGGCTTCCATTTTCAGTGTAGAGGGCATGAATCTGAGCATTCCGGGGACCAGCCACCGCTTGGTTCAGGGTAAGAACTTCAACAACTTTGATCTTCATCAAGGGATCCTCAGCAGGAAGACCCAACTGAGGTACTTGTGTAGCCCCAGAACATTCTGGTCAAAAATAGAAAAAAAGAGCAACAAGTACAGGAAAGATGCTCAGGATCATTATTTTCCAGGGAAATACAAATTAAAACCAGTGGAAACTTCATTTAGTTATTTTTGGCCAGTCCTGGGGCTTGAACTCAGGGCCTGGGCTCTGTCCCTGAGCATCTTTTGCTCAAGGCTAGTGCTCTACTACTTGAGCCACAGCACCACTTCCGGCCTTTTCTGTTTATGTGGTGCTGAGGAATCAAATCCAGGGGTTCATACATGCTAGGCAAGCACTCTACCACTAAGCCACATTCCCAACTCTCTACATCTCTTAGCAACCTAACAGAAAAATTTTGTGAGGACAATGTACATTTTTCAAATAAATTATGAGGCAGAAGGCTCAAGAAATTACTTGTTGGGGCTGGGAAGGTAGCTCAGTGGTAGAGCACTTGCCTTGCATGCTCAAGGCCCTGGGTTCGATTCCTCAGCACCACATAAGAAAAAAGCCAGAAGTGGTGCTGTGGCTCAAGTGGTAGAGTGCTAGCCTTGGGCTGAAGAGCTGAGGGACAGCGCCCAGGCTCAGAGTTTAGGCCCCATGACCGGACCCCCCCCCCCCAAAAAAAGAAATTACTTGTTGAAGTTATTAGTATTCTAATCATCTGTATAGGGCCAATGTGGGCAGCTTTATACCTTCCATGGGTTTGTTCCACTATTTGCTCATTCATGTACTCAGCATCATTACTGAGCCTCTATACTGTGGCATGAGTTAGAACAGGAAGCAAAGATACAGTAGGGGAGTGAAAGGGTTTCTCATGAGAACTGTCATGGACAGCCCCTCTGAAAGCTAATATAAAAATAAAATTTTATTTATTTTTTATTTTATTTTTTTTTGGGTCCTGTCATGGGGCCTGAACTCTGGGCCTGGGCGCTGTCCCTCAGCTCTTCAGCTCAAGGCTAGCACTCTACCACTTGAGCCACAGTGCCACTTCCGGCTTTTTTCTTTTTGCTTATGTGGTGCTGAGGAATCGAACCCAGGGCCTCAGGCATGCAAGGCAAGCGCTCTACCACTGAGCCACCTTCCCAGCCCTAAAAATAAAAATTTAAAGGTAGAGAAGGGACACATGAGAGAAAAAAAAATTACCTTCCCATTTCTATGTTCTACTGACACAACTGTAGTGGAGCATGCTTATATTTGAATACCTTTTTTTTTTTTGGGTCCGGTCATGGGGCCTGAACTCTGGGCCTGGGTGCTGTCCCTCAGCTCTTCAGCTCAAGGCTAGCTAGTGCTCTACCACTTGAACCACAGTGCCACTTCCGGCTTTTTTCTTTTTGCTTATGTGGTGCTGAGGAATCGAGCCCAGGGCCTCAGGCATGCAAGGCAAGCGCTCTACCACTGAGGCACCTTCCCAGCCCCTTGAATACATTTTTACAAGCTTATAGATTACTACACACATTAAATCACTTTTCCTTTTTCTATAGGATTTTGAAGGAAATCTCTCCTAACCTCAGAAAGCTTATTAGTTTATTTGTTTTCCTTCCTACAGGTAAGGCATTCTAGGGTAAGGCTTTATTATTCATAGTCTGAATGCCAGAAAGGGATCTTGGGATAGAATCAAAATATGCCTAGATCCTAGTGAGCAAATAAAGAGGTGACAAAAGACATAATGCCCTTCAATAAAAGATCAACAAATCCTGCAATCACTCACTAGTTTGAATTCTAGGCAAAATGTTTGATATTTATCCAAGATTGACAGCCCTGCAAAGTTCTCTACAGTATCATCCATCTCAAGAATTCTCATTAACATCCCTTACCCATTTGCATAACCTGGCTTTATCTTCAGAGTTTCTTCTCTGAAGATACATCCTTGACACTTGTTTCTTTATTTGCTCAGTAGTTTTTTTTTTTTTTTTTTGTCGGTCGTGGGGCTTGAACTCTGGGCCTGGGTGCTGTCCCTCAGCTCTTCAGCTCAAGGTGAGCGCTCTACCACTTGAGCTACAGCGCCACTTCCAGTTTTCTAGTGGTTTATTGGAGATAGGAGTCTCACGGTCTTTCCTGCCCGGGCTGGCTTTGAACTGCGGTCCTCAGATCTCAGCCTCCTGAGTAGCTAGGATTACAGGCGTGAGGCACCAGCACCCGGCTTGCTCAGTAGTTTACTGAACTCTTAGGGATTTAGTCATTGTGTTAACAAACGTTGCCGGTGGCTCATACCTGTAATCCTAGCTACTCAGGAGACTGAGATCTGAGTATTGCGGTCTGAAGCCAGCCCAGGCAGCAAAGTCTATGAAACTCTTATCTCCCCAACAAACTACTCAGAAGTGGCACTGTGGCTCAAGTGGTAGAGTGCTAGCCTGAAGCAAAAATGAGTAGGGGACAGTGCCCAGGACCTGAGTTTAACCCCCAGGACCAGCAGAAACAAAACAAAACAAAATCCCGGCAAGGTACAAAACTGAGAAAAGATGCCTGCTCTCGTTCATATTGTTAAAACTTGTTCTAAGTATTCAGGGGGGACAATATAACAAACTAAAAAGGTTGAATCTTGCTTTATTACATCCATATATTTATAGAGTTTATATTCTAAATATCTGGTTGAAAAAGGGCAATTTCATTTTTATTATTGGTGGAACTTTTCCAATAATTTTCCTCATATTTCAATAAGGTGGGAGTTCAAGTTGATCTGTCTTCAGATTTCATGGAAAGAATCATTGCCAATATGAGTCCTCTGATACACAGAATGAGGACTCCTACTGAAAGTTTTCCCCCTCCTTTTCACAGGGGTCCTCCCCAGTAAGTTCCACAATATTTCAAGCTGTCGTTAATGTAATTTGCATTACTTCTGTGATGTTAGGTAAGAGCTGGAGACCAAATCATTTCCAGAAATTGCATTCTCTGGTTTCAAAGCTCTCAGATATAACTATTTGGTGTAGGAATGTTTCCAAATTAAATAGTACTAGATTTTCTTGTATATAATACAAAATTTCATTAAAAATTAACAACGAATTAGGTCAAAAACATTTTCTGCTACAGTAATCTATTTGATGTGAGTTCTCAGATACTGAAAAACTTGTGGAAAAGAGTTCTATCTAGGTCTTTAGAGATTAATATCCTAACATGATACTTATTTAGTTAAGGAAGTCTCAGCTGAGCTGCAATTGAGCTTTCACACTAACCACATTTTTTCTACTTTGTTCTTTGAACAATTATCTTTTTTTGGCACAAGGTTAACATTCTACTGCTTGAGCCACAACTCTACTTTCAGGTATTTTTTGGGGATTGATTAGAGATACAAGTCTCACAGTCTTTCCTGCCCAGGCAACCTTTGAACTGCAATCCTCAGATTTCAGTCTCTTCGGTAGCATGAAGCACCATGCTCATGCTGAATTATGTCATGTGTAAAACAACTGAACTTTTCATACCCTACATTTTCCATGTATTTCCCTCTAAAACTACATAAAAGATAAGAGCTAGAGTAGCATTTGCTTCTTTCTAAAAACAAAAACAACTCTCCCCAAACCCTCCTTATAGATGTAGAAATACGGTTGACAAAAAGGCCTACCTTTTATTCAATCCCAGTTTTATTAAGGTAGTGCACCGAAAGACCACTTTAGGAGATAGGCCTAAACTCACATTTCTTTTTTTTTTTTTTTGGTCCGGTCGTGGGGACTGAACTCTGGGCCTGTGTGCTGTCCCTCAGCTCTTCAGCTCAAGGCTAGCACTCTACCACTTGAGCCACAGCGCTACTTCCAGCTTTTTTCTTTTTGCTTATGTGGTGCTGAGGAATCGAACCCAGGGCCTCAGGCATGCAAGGCAAGCACTCTACCACTGAGCCACCTTCCCAGCCCCTAAACTCACATTTCTAAGTAATATCTGGACCTGCTTCTGAGGTTCTAACAGATGCATACAAGTAGTTTTATAAGCGTTTTAGGATGTTTCTATGGACCCAAGACATTTATATTTCATTATCTGAATAAGTAATGACAAGTAACAATTAAGGTAAGTCAAGGAAAGGAAGTCAAACTAAAGAGTACTAAGGAATCATTGTATGACTGGTTTAAGTTTTTGTTTAAAATTATTTCCACATTAAAAATCAAAACCAAAAAACAAAGCCGGGTACTGGTGGCTCACACTCAGGAGGCTGAGATCTGAAGATCACAGTTCAAAGCCAGCCCGGGCAGGAAACCTCGTGAGACTCTTATCTCCAATAAACCACTAGAAAACTGGAAGTGGTCCTGTGGTTCAAGTGGTAGAGCACTCGCCTTGAGCAGAAGAGCGCATGGACAGAGCCCAAGCCCAGAGTAAGCCCCATAACCGACAAAACAAACAAAGAAAAAAACACCCAAATTTCCACTCTGTAAACAATCTTCTTAGCAGAGCACAGGTGGCTCACACCTGTAATCCTAACTACTTAGGAAGCTGAGATCGGAAGATTGCAGTTCAAAGCCAGCCTGGGCAGGAAAGTCTAAGAGACTCTTATCTCCAATTAACCACCAGAAAACCAGATGTGGCTTTATGGCTCAAGTAGATCACTAGCCTTTAGCTGAAGAGTTCAGGGACAACACCCAGGCCCAGAGTTCAAGCCCACAACCAACGAAAACAAAAAATAAAATAAAAAATAATTAGGTCACTGACACACAGAAAAGAGATTCATAGCTGGGTGCTGGTTGCTTATACCTGTAATCCTAGCTACTCAGGAGGGTGAGATGTGAGGATTGCAGTTCAAATCCAGCCTGGGCAGGGAAGTCTGGGCGACTTTTTTTCTTTTATTTTCTTGCCAATCCTGGGGCTTGAACTCAGGGCCTGGGCACTGTCCCTGAGCTTCTTTATCAATCAACCACTTGAGCCACAATGCCACTTCTGGCTTTTTCTGTTTATGTGGTACTGAGGAATTGAACCCAGAGTTTCATGAATGCTAGGTGAACACTCTACACATTCCCACCCCTCTGTGAGACTCTTATCTCTAATTAATCAACAAAAGCTGGAGGTGGTGCTGTGGCTCAAAGTGGTAAGAGTGCTAGCCTTGAGCAAAAGAGCTCAGGGACAAAGCCCAGACCCTAAGTTCAAGCCCCACAAAAGACTAAAAAAAAAAAAAAAATCATGGGGCCGGATGCCAGTGGCTCACACCTGTAATCCTAGCTACTCAGGAGGCTGAGATCTGAGGAGTGTGGTTCAAAGCCAACCTGGGCAGGAAAGTTTGTGAAACTCTTATCTCCAATAAGCCACCAGAAAACTGGAAGTGGCAGTGTGGCTCAAGCGGTAGAGTGCTTGCCTTGAGCTGAAGAGCTGAGGGATAGCGCCCAAGCCCAGAGTTCAAGCCCCACCACCGACCAAAAAAAAAAAAAAAAAAAATCATGGGATTAGAGATATAGCTCTGTTTGGAATGCCCAAGTAGGATACTCTATAGAACTCTTATCTTCCATTAACTACCAAGAAGCCAGAAGTAGAGCAGTGCCAGTGTTATAACACAACCCTTGAGCAAACAAAATTAGGCCCAGAGTTCAAGCCCCAGGACTCGTACAAAACCAAACCAACCAACCAAACAAACAAAAAACCCATGACATGAAATAAGAGAAATACAGCACAGTGATCATTAAAACCTAGAAACTTGCCAAGTTAAATCAGATCAGACATTCACTCTTTATATGCACAGCATTATGTTCCAGAATTTGTGATGCAACTAACATGATGTCTATGTCTATCCAAAGGAAGTAAGCTATTAATATAACTTCCTCCTATTTTTTTTTTTTTTGGGTCCAGTCATGGGGTCTGAACTCTGGGCCTGGGTGCTGTCCCTTAGCTCTTCAGCTCAAGGCTATCACTCTACCACTTGAGCCACAGCGTCACTTCCAGCTTTATTTTTCTTCTGCTTATGTGGTGCTGAGGAATCGAACCCAGGGCCTCAGGCATGCAAGGCAAGCGCTCTACCACTGAGCCACCTTCTCAGCCCCAACTTCCTCCTATTGTATACTTGCAGGTAGCTTTGTATCAGAAAATGTAATGAAAACTTAATAAATAAATGAAAATGAAAACTTATAAATAAGAAACTTATGTGCATATTAGGTTCTGCTGGAACAACAGTACAAGAATAAGACATAATCAATCAGATCAGATAACAGCAATAATGTAAGCCCAATCAAGTATAATTTACATTCTTAGGATTTTTTCTCAACTAATGGATGGTAAGTCTGCTGGAGCTTGGGATGAGTAAGGACATTTAAGAATTTTATAATTACAAAGGATACTAACGTTTATCTAAAGCTGTAAGTACAATAATGTGTTTCTTAGAGAGGATAAAACATAAAGTACAAAGGAGAATCCAGAAAGAGTTCTGCACAATATAGCGTATGACCATAGTTTACTCCACACAGAGATGGTGCTTCCAATGAGCAGAGGAAGAAGTAGTCAAAATATGGTATGGAAAGAAATTGTGCTGTACCATATACAAGAGGAAACGCTAAACAAATAGAGCTTAATGAAGAAATATAAAAATGCTCAAATATGTGAAAGCATTAGGACAATGTGTCTACACAATTATAAACCTGTAACAAAATTAAAAAGAGGAGATGGGGAGCTACAGCTCCGTGATTCCATACAGTATACCATGTATAACCCTAAGCATCAACAACAAATAAATGAATAAAAACAACCTTAAAAATTATTTATTTATTTTATTTATTTTTTTGGGGTCCGGTCGTGGGGTCTGATCTCTGGGCCTGGGCACTGTCCCTCAGTTCTTCAGCTCAAGGCTAGCACTCTACCACTTGAGCCACAGCGCCACTTCCGGCTTTTTTCTTTTTGCTTATGTGGTGTTGAGGAGTCTAACTCAGGACCTCAGACATGCAAGGCAAGCGCTCTACCACTGAGCCACCTTCCCAGCCCCACAACCTTAAAAATTAAAAAAAAAAAGTCCTCAAACTATAAAACTGTATTGTAAAAAAAGGTAGTCTGGAGGACTGTGGTTCACATTTGTAATCCTATTCAGGAGACTGAGATCTGCATCTCCAAGTAACCAGCAAAAAGCTGTATGTGGAACTGTGACTCAAGTGGTAGAGCACTAGCTTTGAGTAAAAAAATGCTCAGGGACAGTGCCCAGGCCCTGAGTTCAGGCCCCAAGACCAACAAAACGAACAAACAATAACAATAAAAAAAAAAAAAACACCAGAAATACTACAAATATCTAGAGGTATAATCAAGTGGTAGAATACTTTACCATCCAGTATGAGGATTGGGTTCAATCTTCTGTCACAAAAAGACATGGTTTGATTTGTTAGTCATGAGAAAAATCTGAACCAAGTAACATACTTTTCTGGTAAGAAAAATCCCATCAATCTCCAAATCTTAAAAAGGCCATTATAGAGCTGAGATGTGGCTCAGTAGCAAAGCACTTGCCTAGCAAACACAACATTCTGGGATTGATCCCCTAGTACTAAAAAAAAAAAAAAAAAGACAAAAACAAAAACTAGGTTTTTGTTTTTTAAAGCCGGGTGCTGGTGGTTCATGTCTGTAATCCTAGCTACTTAAGAGGCTGAGATCTGAGGATCTCAGTTCAAAGCCAGCCCAGGCAGGAAAGTCTATGAGACTCATATCTCCAATTACTCACCAAAAAAGCCTGAAGTACAGCTGTGGTTCAAGTGGTAAAACCCTAGCCTTGAACATAAAGAGCCCCGAGAACTCTTTGCTGCTATCATATAATTAGTTTACATTTTCTTTGATCCTATGTTTCTATTTCTACAAATTCAATCTACAGAAAAATTAACCTGTATGTACAGAAAAATGTCTACAAGGAATGCATTTGTATTTCTTGCTTTGTACTATCTTGAATATTCATCAAGATAGGAAAAGCCAAATGTGGACAACACCAAAATATGAATAGGAATTGTATAAACTTGTTTCTATTGAGTATAATATCATTAAAATGTGAGTATGCCAGGTGGCTCATGCTGATAATCTTCCTCAGGGAGTTGAGACCTGGAGAATCATGATCCAAAAATAGCACAGGAAAAGTTCCCAGACTCCATTTCCAATTAACTAGTAAAATATGGGACTAGAGACATGACTCAAGTGGTAAAACACCAGAAAACAAGTCAGAGTACAAGGTCTTGACTTTAAGCCCCAGAACCAACATGAACACACAGATTGAATACATATTGATACAGACAGACTGACGGACAGACAGACACACACACACACACACAAATCTATAGTAAAAAGTCTAGCTGGAGACAGCAGTTACAAGTGATCACACAAGGAGAATGAAGTAGACAATGAGTAGAATGAGTAAGGGAATCTTTTGTTGTTTTTTGTCCTGGGGCCTGAACTCTAGGGCTGGGCGCTGTCCCTCAGCACTTCGGCTCAAGGCTAGCACTCTACCACTTGAGCAACAGCACCACTTGCAGCTTTTTCTGCTTATGTGGTGCTGAGGAATCAAACCCAGGGCCTCAGGCATGCAAGGCAAGCGTTCTACCACTGAGCCACCTTCCCAGCCCTGGGCTTTTATTTTATTTTTTGCCAGGTCTGGGGCTTGAACTCAGGGCCTGGGCACTGTCTGAGCTTCTTTTGCTCAAGGTTAGCATTCTTACCACTTGAGCCACAGTGCCACTTCTGATTTTTTCTGTGTATGCAGTACTGAGGAATGGAACCCAGGGCTTCATGCATGGTAGGCAAGCACTCTATCAATAAGCTGCATTCCCAGCCCTGGGTTCACTTTCAACCAAGCTTGACATCCTGGCTAAGGGCAGGGGAAAACTTGAAGCTTATTCATACCAAAGCATTAGACTTGGGTTCTCTTACATTTGACCTCTTTTCTAAGATACCAGTCTTTGATTAGCTAGTTGGCTCATTCCCTGTGGGAACTCCCATAGGCCTGGTTCTCACCTGGAAAGGTGTCTTGAAGAATCTCTCTTTCCACTGTCCAGCAGTCTTCTGCTTTCTCTAACTGTATTATCACATCTGGCTTGGAAAGATGAAGTTCTGCTCAAGGGAAAAGAGACAGGGCTTGGGGAGTCTGTGCTTGAACAAAATGCTACCCTCCTGCAATACACTCTATTCCTACCATTTCTCTGCTGGAACTTAACATGACTTGGGGCCCAAGGCAGTGATATCCACCAAACACATCCCTTTTGTCCTATTTGTTGAGTTCCTTTGCCAGCTGAGGAGCCTAAGGGAGGTGGGGCCAGTTTTGTCCAGCAAGATACAGGGGAAGATCTTAATTAGGAAGCTTATTGGGAAAACTTTGGCTTTCTTGGCACATGTGATCCTTGTGAATGGCTATGGATGTTACCTCGTTTGTTTCTGCCTTGAACCCAGGCATGAAGTTTGGAGCCACAGCCATAGAACAACTAGCCAAAAGATGAAAGGTACAAAAGAACCATAGAAATGGACAGAATCTGGACCTTTGATGAAACTGGTAAACTGCTGGACACTACTAACACATCCTCTGCAATTGTTACAAAGTATTCACTACTGCAGGTACAATCAATCCTGATGCACCTCCCCCAACTCCCCCAGTACTTAAGAGACACTGAGTTAGGGATTGGGTGAAACTTCAGAGTCATACCAAGAAGCTGCCTTTTTTCCTATGCATACAAAGAAGAGGACTCCCAAGCTCTTAATACTTCCAATCTAATCCCAGCAGCCCGCACCTAAGCAGACACACTTCAGAGGCACCACAAATAATGATACAAAGCACAGACTTGTTTTCTTTTTTGAGACAGGATCTCATAATGTAGCCCAAGTTGGCCTGAAACTTCTGCCTCCAGCTTCTCAGTGCTGAGATTATAGGCAGGCACCACCACGCCCAGCCAAAGCATTTGACATTTAGAGTGGCCTTACCCACTGAGACCAGGTTTCTGTAGTTTTCCAGCATCACTTCCCTGTATAAGGACTTCTGTGGGATGTCCAGCAGTCCCTTCTCTTCCAGGGTAAAAGTCAGTGCTATATCTTCAAAGGTCACTGGTTCCTAAAACCCACAGGATCCTGTTCAGCAAGGGCAGATCCTCCTCCATGGTAACAGGAAGAGAAAGGAGACTGGCCAAGATGACCTGAAAGGGTTCTACCTGTCTCACCTTGTGTTATTTGTTTGAAATCCTGAATAAATCCATGCCTGGACCTATTCAGGACACAGTGAGGACAAGTGAGACATCTCCTCTACCAAATATTGTTTATTTGTAGCGAGGCACCTCTGAGAACATTTTTGATCCTTGCTACTCAGGGGGCTGAGCCGTGAGGATCGAGTTTGAAGCCAGCCCAGGCTAATCTCCAATTAACCAGGTCTGGTGATTACTACTCTGAGATTGGTATGAATGCCATTTTTGGGTGCCGGCTTCTGCCTGTCCCTGAGGTTTTTTGCTCAAGGCTAGCACTCTACCACTTGAAGCCACAGCTCCACTTCTGGCCTTTTGGTGGTTCATTGGAAACAAAAGTCTCACACTTTCCTTCCTGGCCTGGCTTTGAACACTGATCCTCAGATTTCAGCCTCCCGGGCAGCTAGAATTACAGGTACGAGCCATAAGCGCCTAGCTTCCTTTAGTGTCAACAGGTGGTTAAGAGCTCTCAGAATCCTCCACCATTTGGCTTCTTTTCTAAACACTCACTAGGAAATCGAAGCAGTTTCCCCGTAACAGCCGACCCCCTCCCCGCAGAAGTGCTCCGAGAAACGGGGGCATTTCAGAGACTGTAGGGAAGTGGCGCTGTGGCTCAAGTGGTAGTGCTCTAGCCTTGAGCAAAAGGGCTCAGGGATGGCGCCTAGGCCCCGAGTTCAAACCCCGCAACCGACAAAAAATAAAAATTAGAGACCGTAGTTGTTCCCCCACCACGTGCATCCTCAGGGGCTGGGAGTGTTAGTCACTACTCACATTGGACCAGGATGGCGAGCGCCTGAAAGCCATACTCCCCTCTGCGTCTCCCTCGTGAGTGGGCAGAGTTCTGAGAAAACAAAAGTCGGAGGGGGCAGGAAGGCGCTTGAGGGGGACGCCGAGGTTCCCGGACTCCGCCCCGTCCATCCTCCGCCCCGGAGCTGGGGCACCGGTGAATCCTCGCCCCACACTCCACGCCCAGAGGACCGGGTCCCCTCACCCGGCCGAGGCCGCCCCGACCCGGGAGGCGGGCTGCCGCCCAGCCGGCTCCACCCCGGCTGCGAGCCGCGGCCCTCGGGATCCCGGTCCAGGACCACAGACAGCTCTCCTCCAGCTCCGCAGCGGACAGATAGGTAAGGGCGACTCCCGCCACCGAGCTGACGGGACAGAAGCAGAGGAGATGCCCAGCCCGAGGCGGGAGCCACTTTTTAAAAGCAGCACTCACCAGGCGCGCACCCCGCAATGGCGCCAAAGGGCCCCGCGGTGAGGTGCGTCAGAGCGCCGGCCCGGACTACAACTCCCAGAGGCCCCCGCGGCGGCCGCACCTAGGCGGCGACAATCGGTTTTGCGGAAAGGACGCTTGTCGGGGCCCCACAGAACACGGGAGGTCTCTAGCAGAGGACACTACACTACGGGGGTCCCAGCGTCTCCGTGAACGGCGACCCAGCCTGGCCAGACTCGTTAACACCCAACAAGGGTGGCCAAGAGGAGGCGGACCGGAAGTCGGAGTCGAGGGAGGCTAGGCCCGGAAGTGCCGAGTAGTTTCGCGGCTAGGCGGCTGGCGGGGCTGATCTCGTCCTCGCGAGAGGCCTGGAAGTGCCGCACTGCCGCTGGGCTCGGCGCCTACCGGTGCTGACCTCGTCCTCGCGCGCGGCCTGGAAGTGCGGGGCGGCCGGCTGGGTTGACTGCCGGACGCGGGGCCCACGCAGGTGGAGGAAGACCGGGTGTGTCAGTGCCCCGGGTCCTTCCTCGCTGGCCCTCTGCAGAGAGCCGTGGCTGGGCGGCCGACACGTCTGCTCGCCTTCCTGAGGCTGGACGAGTGGGCGAGCCCAGTGGCCCCGTGAGCGGAACCCGAAGTCCGCCTTCGGGGAGGTGGGGCGGGCCGGAAGTGCGCCTGGCGGGTCCACGCACAGTCCTCGCTTCTTGTGGGGAGCAGAGGAAGGCCCCCAGAAAGCCAGAGCTAGTCCTGGGGAGCTCCGGCCTGTGTGTCCCCTGACGGCCCGCAGGGCAGAGGCCTAGGCAGCATGCTAAACAATAGCTCGCTTAGACTTGGAAGTCTCACTCCGTGTATTCCGACGCTTCACCTGGAACTCGCACCAGTACCGAACTCCTAGGCCTAATTCTAGTAAGCGTGTCGTCCACCCAGGGGAGCTCACGTGGCGGTCACCTGGCTTTGAGGTCCGGGGCATCCGCCGAGGGCGTCCTCCGTGTTGTTTCGAGTCGCTGGAAGGAGAGGCGGCCGCCTTGCTGGCTGGATGCCAAGGCGGGTTGGTGGACGTGGAGTCATCGCGGCCTCGGGGTCTCTCTGCTGGCCTGCATTTCTATATGCTTTAGGCTGGGCCTTTCATTTCTGGCCATATCCGATGATCAGGGCTGCCTTAGTGGCAGCTTCGCTTCTGTCTGGTAATCGACAAGGGCGGTGCTGGCTTGCCTCTGGCTGAGTCTGGTTATCTGGTGGGCTGGATGCCTTGGTGATGGCTCTGTAGGCTCCCTGGGTGCGCCCTTATCTGTATTCCATAGCTCTAACTCTAACATTTTACAGCTTAATACTTCATACTATTTCACAGCACACATGCTCAATGCATTCCTATTCAATAACCTACCATATGGGTATTTAATAGCACACTATGCCCATGGTATAACCCCTGCTTTCACTATATATGATGTTGGTATGTGTGGAGGGGAAGGAAAAAAACCGTTAAAACAGGGAGACAGGAGGACCCATCACAACAATGAGATGTACAAGTCGTTATGTCGAAAAACGAACTTTACAACTTTGGTGGGGGGATTTGGGGGGAGGATGGGAAGGGGAAACAAAGGAGGTTACAATGCTTGATAAGAAATGTACTCATTACCTTGCCCATGTAATTGTAACCCCTCTGTACAGTATTTTCACAATAAAAAAACGTTTATAAAAAAAATAGCACACTATGTCAGTACCTAATAACAGTGTCAATATTCAGTAACAAACTACGACAGTATTCCATCATACTCACTACATCTAGACACAGTGTCTTTCCCCCAGGGCTTTGAACAATTTGCTCCAGAGAAGTGGCCTGCCCATATCCAGGAAGGACAAACACTGGCCAGAACCTGGTGTGTTTGTGCTCAGCTTTTTTGACAGTCCCAGGACAACAAAATACTGTGTTCGGGGAATATTTTGTCTCCCTTGGGTGGCAGGCCCTAGTATGGTCTTGTTCCTCCGTGGGTTCCAGGTACTTAAGAGAATCTTCAGCTTCAGACCCACTGACCAGACCCTAAGAGCCTGGTATACTCTGCTCTCCTTTGGAGTTTCCAGGTAAACTCAGCAACGTTTTATCTCCCTGGGGTCTCTGGTTCATTGTTTGCTAAACTGGTTTCAGTGTTGATCTTTATGGAATGGTAGAAAGGATCTGTTCAGAATACCCATTGTTCATCTCAATTTTTGTTCCAATTAGATAGAAAGTATTAATTTTGCATATTAGTATTCAGAGCTTATGCAGATATCTTATTCTGAGAGTATATCCTTGATGTTTAAAATTTATTATAGATAGAATACTATTTCTCTTCCTTTTTCATATAAACCATGTAAAATCCCAATCTTGTTTTTTTGTATGTGAGTAGAGAGTTAATTACATCAACTCAAGCTTGAAGAGCTTTCCCATCTCAAGCCATCCTGGAACCAATAAAAACTTGATATTGGGGCTGGGAAGGTGGCACAGTGGTAGAGTGCTTGCCTTAGTTTGATTCCTCAGCACCACATAAACAGAAAAAGCCGGAAGTGGTGCTGTGGCTCAAGTGAAAGTGCTAGCCTTGAGGTGAAGAGCTGAGGGACAGCGCCCAGGCCCAGAGTTCTAGCCCCAGGACCGACCCACAAAAACAAAAAGAACTTGGAGTTGTGGCATATATCTTTATTAAGAACTATATGGGAAGTGTAAATACGATCCTTGGCCAGGCCAGCCCTAATATAAATGTGAGAATATATTAAAAAAAGTCAGGTGCTGGTGGCTCACGCCTGAAATCCTAAGTGCTGGGGAGGCTAAGATCTGACAGTTGCCTTTGAAGACAGCCAGGGCAGGAAAGTCTCTGAGACTCTTACCTCCAGTGAACCACTAGGAAATCAGAAGTGGTCAGAGCCGTGAAAGAGCTCAGGGATGGCGCTCACGACCCTAGTTCAAGCCCCACGGCCGACGAAGCAAAACAAAAAAATACAAGTGAGATCTGATTTATGGTGGCCACAGTAAACCAGTTTTCAGTGCATCTCAGAGTGGAGGATGTGGTGGAGCTCACATCGCAGTAACTGGAAAACAAAGAAGGCTGCCTCTGCGGGCTTTTCAGCAGAGCCTCTGACCTTGTCTGGAAACGTCCTCTCGGACACGCACCGACGCCTGCTGCTTCTAGTGCAGCCAAGTTTCAAGCTGAGACACTTTGCAGGGCACTCGGATTCCAATGCACACTGGTTGTGTTGTCAAGCCTTTAAAACGAAGCGCCTCGCAGTCTTTCCCCGGTTACGATGTCCGCTTGCTGGGCCATGCGTGGCTCTCGGGGCTCTCCGGGGCCCTCCGTCTCCGTGTCCGCTGCGCACGGCTCTGGAGCACGCCGCCTCCGCCGGGAGCCCGGCGCTGGCGGCTCGGAGGACCGGGACTGGAAGCCAGCCTCCTCAGCCGGCTCAAGGAGCAAAGCGCCCGCTTGGAGCCAAGAAGCGGAGCGGCGGCGCCCAGGCGCTGGCCTCGGCCCCGGCCGACCCACCCAGGACCGGCGGCCGCTGACAGAAGCCGCCTCCTCAGCCCGGTCCGCCGAGCATGCACAACCGCAGCAACGCGGGAACCGAGGAGGCAGCGTTCCCCGCGGGCCGTCCCAGTTCCCGGCCGCGCCGACCCCGTTTCCCCGTGGCGGGGGCGCCCGGGCCGCTCACATCCGGATCCTGGCGCCTGCGCGTGCGCAGTCTCCGCCAACATGGCTGACGCCGGCCGGCCGCCGGGCCGCCCGCCCACAGTGAGTCTTCCGGGCCTCGGCGTCACGAGAGGGGCAGCGCTGGGTGGGGGTAGCGGAGAGCCGCGGTGTCCATCGCGGGGTTCCTCCGGGGGGCGGGGTCCCTCCGGGGGGCGGGGTCCGCGCGAGCCCGGACGCGCCCCGGCGGGAGCGCGGGCACCTCCGCCGGCCGCGGGCGAGGCGCGGGGCCGGGTCCTCCGCGGCGGGCGGGCGGGCGGCGCCGGGCGGGCGGGCGGCCTAGGCCCCCCACCCCCACCCCCACCCCGATCCTCCCAGGCCTCCGGGCCCGGTCTCCGTCCTCCCCACAGCCTCCGCGGTACTTAGCAGCCAGCGAGCCGCGGGTCCCGCCACGTTTGCAGCTGGCGCGCCGGTTTGTACGTGATGTAATTCCACGCAGTTTTGTTTTGTTTGTCGATCCTGGGACTTAGAACTCTGGGTCTGCAGCTAGCACTCTACCACTTGAGCCACAGTGCCACTTTCGATTTTCCTGCTCATGTGGTGCTGAAGAATCGAACCTAGGCCCTCACGCATGCGAGGCGAGCACTCTACCACTGAGCCACCTTACCAGCCCATTCCCCCCCTCCCTCCCCCTTTTCTTTGTGCTAGTCCTGGGGCTTGAACACCAGGTCTGGGAGATACTCATCCCTAAGCTTTCTTGCTCAAGGCTGGCGCTCTACCACGTGAGCCACTGCACCACTTCTGGTTTTCTGGTGTTTCACTGGAGATGAGAATCTCACGGACTTTCCAGCCCGGGCTGGCTTTGAACCTCGAGCCTCAGAACTCAGCCTTTTGAGTAGCTAGAATGACAAGCATGAGCCACCAGTGCCCGGCGGCCCCCTCCCCCCTCTTTCTTCATCAAGCTTTTTGTTTTAAAGTTTCACACTTGTTAAAAAAAATTGGCAGAAATCGTTTGGTGAACACTTACAAAGCCATCTACATTTGCAGGTTAACACTTCACATTAACTTTGTCTCCTCTCTTCCATTCCTTCCCCTCCTCCAATATGTCCGAAGTGTGTCACACAGTGGTGTTACAGGCGTATGTTTACATACACATATCTTTTTTTGCTGAATTACTGACAATTCACCCTGAAATACTTTTGAGAGTATTTACTAAAGAATAGGAACAAAGCCGGGTGCTGGTGGCTCACGCCTGTAATCCTAGCTACTCAGGAGGCTGAGATCTGAGGATCGCGGTTCAAAGGTAGCCGGGGCAGGAGAGACCATGAGACTCCTATCTCCAAGATAAACCACCAGAAAACCGGAAGTGGCACTGTAGCTCAAGTGGTAGAGCGCTCACCTTGAGCTGAAGAGCTGAGGGACAGCGCCCAGGCCCAGAGTTCAAGCCCCACGACCGACAAAAAAAAAAGAATAGAACATTCCTGAACAAACCAGGTTATCCTGCTAACTAGTTATTACGTCTGATATTCAATCTGTGTGGTGCTTTGTTGGGTTTTGTATTTATATTTTTTTCTATCTAAATAGACAATAAAAGAAAACCTTCTACTTAAGTATG